TCCCCAGAGATTGGAGAGCCCAACCCAAAGTCCCCAGGCTCAGCTTCCTCAACAGAAGGCATGTTGGTGGGATTGAGGAGGTCTTCAAAGTATTCCGTCCACCGGCACACAACGTCACGAGTTRAGGTCAGCAGTACACCATCCCCACCATAAACAGTGTTGGTGCTGCACTGCTTCCCCCTCCTGAGCCAAAAGATCAGATAAAAAAATTTATTTTTGCTAAGTTGTATGTTATGGACAAATCCTTCTGTTTTGGAGCCTTGTTAATTAATTCTAACAAAAAATAAATAAATCATTCATATAACTGTGTTTTGGTTGAAAAATACTGAAGAGAAAATTAACTATAATAATTCCTGAAAGGGATTACCTCCTCTCAGTCTTTGGAATTTCATCGCAATATGGCAAACAACGTCCAAGTCCGTTTTTCCTTTTATAGCTGTGATTTAGATTCAGTATGTGATAGTGACCGCTGTCAGCTACACCGGTTTTTAGCTCAATGTGTTAAAAGTTCAATACACGCCTGAAGCCTTTACAACATGTAAATATTTTAACATAACTCAGTTTTCTGTCTAAGGGTTTCTGGTCGGTCACATGGCAGGGAGAACCTCCAATCGATGTGACAGCTTGCACCTAGGGAGTGGCCAGAATTGGAAGAAAGTGTTTATAAGCAGCTGAAACTTCCTGCCTCATGACTGATTAAATGGCCGAGGCTTTTATAGACTGGCCACAAGGTATTTGTATGGCTGTGGTTAACATTCAAGTCTTATTTCTGTACTTGTTCCTTGTTTTCGACACACGCTGAAGTGTATAAACACGGCAATATCTTCTCAAAGGGATAATTGGTTTCAGCTTTTTGAGCATAAAAAAATTCCCTTTAACATCACCACTTGCTGGGTGTTTTGGCTTATCGACTAACTTGTTAAATTAAATTGTAAATTAAGAAAAATTATTTTTGTGTATGTGTTGACAGTAATGTCAAAACTCAATAAATTGAATAACGTATAAAATCAACTCCTAAACTGTATTCTCATGTTTGGGTTTTCATGTATTCAAAGGGATGTTATCACCAAAAATAAAATAAATTTTAAATAAGGGGGTTTTCTCCTGTGTATTCGATGTGTATTTAACTTTATTACTTGGTCAAACATTTGACCACAAACACTACAAGGAAATGGTTTCTAATGTGTCTGTATGAATTTGTTTCTTGGCTACACATTTGTCCACAAACCTCAAAAAAAAAAAAAAAAAACGATTGTGGATTTGCATGTTTAAAATTCTCTTTTGGTTAAATATCTGTCATAAATATCACCAAGGTAAAGGTTTCTGTCCTATATGGATTCTCATGTGTGTGTCTAAAGTTGTTCGACTAATTATTGGTCCGCCTGCCTCACAAGGGAATGGTTTCTGTCTCGTGTGAATTAATATGTGTCTTTTTAAACTTGTCTTCTGGGTAAACATCTGACCACAGACATCACAAGAAAATGGTTTCTGACTTGTGTGGGTCATTACATGTCTGTTTAAACTTGCCTTTTGGCTAAACATTTGACCACACACGTCACAAGAAAATGGTTTCTCTCCTGTGTGGATTCTCGTGTGTGTGTTTAAAGTTGCCTTTTGGCTAAACGTTTGTCCACAAACATCACAAGGAAATGGTTTCTGCCTTGTGTGAGTCATTGCATGTCTGTTTAAATTTGTCTTTCGGCTGAACATTTGACCACAAACATCACAACAAAATGGTTTCTCTCCCGTGTGGATTTGAATGTGTGTGTTTAAAGTCATCTTTCGGCTAAACATTTGTCCACAAACATCACAAGAAAATGGCTTCTCTCCTGTGTGGATTCTCATGTGTGTGTTAACACCTCCCCTTTGGTTAAACCTCTGTCCACAAACTTTACAAGGAAATGGTTTCTCTCCTGTGTGGATCCTTAAGTGTACATTTAAATGGTTAATGCATCTAAACATTTTTCCACAAAGGTCACAGGGAAATGGTTTCTCTCCTGTGTGGATTTTCATGTGTTTGCTCAGATCTCCTTTTCTTTTAAATACTTTGCCGCAGTCGTCACAAGGAAATGATTTCGGTCTTGACTGGACTTTCCTCATAGAGACTACTTTTTTCTTCACTATAACACATTTTTCATTGACCAAAAAACTTAAAGACTTGTTCCCATCCTCCTCCTCTTCATCATCCTCACTGACTTCAGTCTCTGAAGAGCTGTATTCGTCTTCTCGAGTATTTAGTTCTGGGTTCCTGCTAGTTTCTGCTCCTCCACAGTCCTCTCCATCAGTTGCTGCTGTCATCTGGTCAGCTGATCTGCCGCTCGGAAAAGCTCTGTCTTCCACTTGATGCAGATGAAGCTGTAAAAACGAGGGTTTCTCTTCATCATCCTCGCTCTTCAACTGAACTACAGTGAATGAAAAGCTGGCGGCATCATCCTCCTCCTTCACAGTGAGCTGCTCTCCCTCCAGACTGGTCCAAACTTCCTCCTCTTCCTCCTTTATGTTGAGGGCTTCTGGGTCCTGCTGGTCTAGATGAGGGCTCCGTTCTTCAGGAACACTTTCTTTAATCAGCACCACCTGCTGAACATTTGCAGCAAACACTGAAACACATGAACATTTGGAACAATTGTCAGAAAACCTTTTAAAACTAAATTCATAGAAGACAAAAATCCTTATGACTAGTATGGAAACACTTGCCTGAGTTTGGTCATATTTGTTCAAGTTCTGCTGAATAAAGATCCATTCATTAGTTCATTCATTCACAACTGTCTGCAACAGGAAGACTTCTGTTTTTATACTTAATGTTAATTTAGGAAATTGATGAAAACCAATGCTGGGTAGTCTGCCACCATCTGTTCCAAACTCTAGGATGTGACAAAGATTCAAAGTCTTCAAACACAGTGACTGGCTCAGGTGTTGTTTCTTTGGGAAGAAAGACAAAGGCTCTTGATGTTGAACTGTCTCAGTTTGTGAGTATTGGATTGGATGTCGGGTGCTACGGATCCCCAACCCTGAACCAATATTCATAGACAACATACAACCATTCATGCTCATACTTACATCTAGTGACAATTGAGTTGTTCTCAAACTGTTCAGCACACTTCCGGTGGGCAGGGGTGGGGGGCATTAGCCGAGACTAGCTGTTGTGTTGGCTCAGACTGTACAGCATTGAAGTTTATTTCCATTCATGTGGTGTACAACTTCTCTATGCTACTTTTATTGTACTAAACCACAAGACTCTAGGACAAAATATAATGGATTAAAAAAATAATGTTGATTTCAAACAGCAATTTAAAAAATAGTTGACTATGTGAGGTCCGAGTGGACCTTAATTTAAAAACAACTTGTAAGATGGTACTGATGCATTTTTGCTTTACCAGTTATATTCAAGCACAAAATACTTGTCTTTATGGTTAAACAAAACTAGTTCAACTTATTAAAGTTAAGAAAAAAATCAGTCCGTCAGTGTTCTGTTTTTTTGTTTGTTGTTATGTTTTGTTTTGATGTGCTCAATCTCCACTCACAGCAACTTACTTTCAACAAGTTGAAGAAATATGGAAAATTTCACCACACATCAACTCCTTCTCAGCTCTTCTATTTCTTCCAAACAAAAAGTTAAAGCACTGGGGAAATAATAATAATAATAATAATAATAATAATAATAATAATAATAATAATAATAATAATAATAATAAAATAAAAAACTCCTCAAGAAAGTCAGTCCTCCGTCAGCTTATCCAGCAGTAGATCCAAGCTGGGAATCTCTCAGGGGTGAACCTGCAGAACAGAATAAGGAAAGATCAGATTATGATGGTTGCTATTAAGAGTTTTTTTAAGCTTATTTTGTGAAGATTTAAATTAAACTAATTCCACTCTAGAAGTGTTCTTGTTATAAATCAATGTATTTTTTAAATATTTTGTTGTGTTATATTTATTAACTATGACCCATAATGTGTACCTAAATAACCAAATCAAATTAATAGTGTTAATTAAATTTCCCGATATAGGAACTAACAACTTAAACTAATCAAGTCTCAGCAAATACAATACAAAAAGCAAAAACGAAGTTTGAATTTACCAACAATATTTCAGATCATTTGCAAATTTAAAACTTGTTTCAATGCAACAAAATAAACAATACTTGTTCTGTTACATGCTGCAGTGTTTCCCCTACCATTAACAGGCAATTCCCCCACCCAGCAAAACTAGGCTGACAAATAAATGTTATGGTTCTTACTGACACTTAACCAGGACACTGAACTCATTGTTAGGCCTGTGTTATTACCAAAGACATCTAGCCGGGCTCAGAGAGACCGAAAGCTCAGAATTTCAGCTCAACATAGACTAGCTGAAAGCTTTAATTCTGCGTCCATGATAGAACTCTCTTAACAAAGCAGAGCACGCCCTAAAATATGCAAAAACTCTTGTCAAACGCATGCTACTGACAACAATTAGCATTGAAAACGTCATAAAGGCTAACGCGATTAGCATCGTGGTTACTAAAATGTATGCTCAAATCAAACGTTTCAGTCTTTACTAAAGAAGGGCATGTTAAAAAAATCACTATTACTTACAGACATGCATTGCTCAGGGTTTAGCCAATAAAATATAAAAAGTATGTTAAAAAACACAGCTTTACAACAACCCTTTTCAGATGCAGGAAACTACGGCAACTCTACTAAGACAATCTGCACAGCTCATGGAGCTAGCTGAGATTTCGAGTCGCCATGTTGTAAAGAGCTACGTGTGTCAACATGCACTGTTTACATGTGGAAGCAGCACGTAATTAACTAATTATGTACTTTAGTCAGAGCTCTTCTATTAGTGTATGTAGTTAATTTTGCTTTCTTTGATAACTTAGATCGAGGATATAAACTTCCATTGGGCAATGTAATAAAATATAATTTTATATAGGTAAAATACAAACTAAACTTTATTACTCACATAAATAAATGGCACTGTATGCAGAAATAATTCAACATATTAATTTAAAATTAATATTAGACAATGTATAAAAAAGAGTAATTTGCTCAACACTTAAACAGTGGGGATAATACACTCAACACTGTTTATAAGTCCATGAATCTAAAGTGTTGCAGGCCGTAGATATAGTTACATACAATACACAGTATACACAACACAGAGTCATTTACAAAAACACTTAACAATATGTTAGATTGAACTTAATAACTGATAGGTACATTAGAGAGTTATTTTAGTGTTTTTGGCAACTTGTGGGATCTTTTGGACAGCAGAGTTGGTCTTTATTTTGGCCTGTAGTAATTATTTTCTTTAGGTGGCAGCAGATGCTAGTGGTAGTGCAAATGTGTTTGTCAGAACCACAAAGGAGCAGACCCTCCGTACTTACTGTACATAAAAGCATATACCCTCTCTTTAAAAAGACCAACAAGTACCTTCAACATATGCCAGCGCAGTCTGCACCACATGAGTGGGTCCTTTTCAAAACTGGAGAGTCCGCTTTAAAAGGAGTAAACTGAAACCAGCACTGCTGAAATAATAATATTAATAATCTGCAAATACTTCCCGGTCTACTAGCACACTTATTTATATTACAGTAATAGTAACGTTGCAGAAACACCACTATGAACTCCTATATCACAAAACTTTATTGAAGTAGCACAAGCACAGGTTTTATGTGTCTGTATGCACTACTTTCACAATATTTCTTAATACTAGTAGCTACAAAGTTATATAATTGGCAGAATGAGGCTTTGTCAACTCTACCACTCAGATGCAGTTCCCACACAAAGCCAGCAGATGTCTCTAATCTGACTATTATGCACAGACTTGAACAACCCTGTTCTATAGACTGTGTACCTCCATGCTATTATCACTGCTGTTGTAGCTGTTAGTTGTTAGTTGAAGCTGTTCTATATACCTTCATGCTATTATGTCCTATTAGTCCTGTCCTCAGCTCTGCAAAGATGTGACATAATACACCCTTAGTGTTTTTTTTTTACAAATGTTAAATTTAGTGACTTTGTTTATCCTTTACATGACTATCATTAGTTAATTCCAAACAACATATAGTATACTTAGTTGTAATTTATTAGTATGAAACATAATCAAACACCACCTCATTGGGCAATGGTTATTGTGGTCTCCAAACTTTTCATTTTTTTTCAGGGGCTTGTGAGCTCAACCCTTGCTGGTTTATATACAAAAGTTATAGGCTCTGTTTAGCCTGGCATGTCTATAAAAACACACAATTTAACTCAACTCAACTCAGTGTTTGTCTCATGCGCTGAAAGGAAGTGTTTCCCTATGCAACGAGATTCTTTCTTTGCTGCCCACAATAAATACCTAATAATAAAAACTAATTTAAAAAACTGTTTTCCTCACAGCTACTTTCACAGATTCTCACACTTAACTCCTCAGTCTTTAGTTTGCACGTCACTCAGCATTGCATCTTGCACATACAGGTGATGCAACTAACCCATTTGTACAAATAATTTCCAAGTTTACTGCATCTTGTTTTTACTTTCACTTACATTTTGGCATTCCCCCATCTTTCTTAAGAATCTAAGTGAAGTCCTTACAGATGGGCACATTCAGGTATGTTGTAAAGCTGCTCCTGAAGCTAACAAGAATTAGAAAACTATTCATAAACTGATATATTTATGAAAATATAATAAATGACAACATCTTGTAAATCTCATGCTTTAAAATGTAACATGTGCACAGTGGCTCAGTTGGTAGAGATGTTGCTGAGAAGGTTGCCAGATCAAATCCTGGCTGAGGACCTTTCTGGTAGAGTTTGAATGTTCTCTCTGTGCGTGTGTGGGTTTTCTCTGGGTACTCCTGTTTCCTCACACAGACCTAGAACAGTTAGGCCAATGGGTAACTCTAAACTGTCCCTAGGTGTGAGTGAGAGACTGAATGGTTGTTTGTCTCTATGTGTCCCTGTAATGAACTTGTAACCTGTCCAGGGGTGTAGCCAGCCCCTCACACACAGCTGGACATGGGCACCAGTGATCCTGAGACGAAGAAGCAGGTAAAGATAATGCATGGACATGTCCATGCCTTTCAGACACAAGTTGTGTCTCATCAGAATGTATTTTTTTCCCCTGCACGTGCCGCATGACACAAGTTCAGTTCAGTGGAAAACCAATGTCTGAACATTGCAGATGACAGTGATAAGTTGTTTATGCTTGTCTCTTTTTTATGAAAGTTTAATCTTTTTCTGTTTTGATGTCAGATAAGCTGCACTCTCTCACAATCAGATTTTTAAAATGCTGCTTTCCTGTTCTGAAGTAAAAGTACATACAACACAAAACACTTTGGAATACGTCAAACCTAAACGAGTTTAATCATAACGCAAACTTTATACTATTTAAAATGAAAAATATAAACTGTTGACCCAGAAAGTGTGAACATCTGATTGAAAAACAAAACAACTTTCACGTGGTAGTTTAACTTCCAAACTGTCTCAATATGTGTTTACACATAGTATAGGTCTCTTTTTACATAATAATTTCTGTCGCAACAGTCAGAACTTTGTCATATTTGCTTCTAGCATCAGCCCACATGATGACACAACCTCTGTTTCATCACACAATGTTTTGTTCAATTTTCAAGTAAACATATGAGCTTCCAGTAACACCAGTCATATTACTAATATTATTTTAATTCTCTAAAACTAACTTTTTGACCACTTTAATTACTAAAAAAAATTGTATTTGTGTATAATAATAAGCTTAAAATTAACCCTGCAATAATGATGATTAATTTTTTTTAATGTTTATGACCTTTATCAGCGTTCCTAAACTGAGTGCTAGATGCTATTAAGGGGTATTATGAAGGTATTTCCTGTTAAGCTGAGTGCATATTTGTGACATTAATGTTCAGCAGTAAGTGGGCGTTTGTTTGACCAATGAAACTGGGAAGTAAAGTTACTGTAAGGAAGGACTGCTGTTTGCAAGGCTGCCTTTCAGTGCACTCCAGCTTCACAAGGTATGGTTTATTGCACAGATATCGTAATTGACAATAAATGTTTAATTGTCATTAGAAATTAATACAAATCAAAACATAAACATATAAAGCTGATTTGATGTGTAAGCGAAGAAAACAGAGATCTAAATTATGCTAAGGAGGAATTAAAATGTGTTTTGTTTTGTTTTTCGGAAACGAATAAAACTTTTCAAAACTAAAATGTCGGAGCTTTGTGAGTGGTGCTTGAATGCATCTTAAGCTCGCTGTTGGTCAGTTTCTCGTGTTGTTGAGACGGCGCTTCGGCGGTGGTGAACCCGACCCTGAACTGGAACGAACTACCTCAAAACAACATGGTAAATAAGCCAAGACGTCTTCTTTGTAAAGCTTAGGAAAGTGTTTTTATATTTATTTAGCCACGTAGTTTTAGTGGTTGGTAAAACTCCCAGGTCTTCTCAGGAGGAGCAGCTACACCTGAAAAGCAAACAAAAAGAAGAAACTCTTGTCGCGTCAAGCAGCCTCCAAAACTTTCAGGAGGGTTTTATATCAGAGACGTATTCTGCCCATGCTGAATTTCAAAACTTTGTTTATATCTCAGTCTTTAATTTTGTGTTTTTCAATCGTAACTACTTTTCATTATTCCAACTGAGAGAAAAGGTGAGTGAAACTGTTAAAATCCACAAAGCACAGCACTGTTGGTTCATTTAAACCCTCTAGAAACAGCCAGAGTGGATCATGTTTCAGTATTTTGGATAAAAATGAACATTTTGAACTGAAAGACTTTTGATTTTAAGAGGTTTAACGTAATGATTGGGCAACATCACAAAAAGAGCAACTACAACACACTGAGGAAAATGCATCCATCATCATTTATGCGTTTATACTGGTAACTGATTTAATAATGAGAAGAATGCATAGGTTGATCATTTATTCCAGGGGCTCTCAAGCCATTTGGGTCTGGGGACCCCTTACAAGGGCGAAAAAAATTCCAGGGACCCCCTCATAAACCCCATGCTGTTTTAAAAGATAATTTATTGTCATTTCAACCCCTAAATGCCATGGAAATATATGT